GAAAGAATTCGACCAACTATTTGTAGAATAAACTCTAACTGTTCAGGGCTACTGCTTGCTGTAATGATGGCAGCTTTGATGTCTTCGTTAACATCAGTCTTCAATAGTGCTTCGACTCTTTTCACTTGTGATGTGTGGACGAGGATTCGTAAACATGCCTCACAGCGAGAACTAATGATTGTGGGAAGGTATGATCGTCTACTACTGAAATTAACGGTAAAGGGGTGTTTAACGATATGTCCGAAAGCAGCCTGCATCAAAATGGCGTTTTTGTGCATGCATCGGGAAATGCTTCTCAAAATTGGAATCCATTTTCCGCGTCTACTCTCTTATTGGGATCTTATTATAATAATCTTATTATTTCAATGGACCAACTATTCTTACTGGGGTAATTAAAAACAAGGTATGACGGTTTATAATTCTAAGGAAGACTAAATTAACTGTTCTCATATAATTCATTTGAAAAACAACAGTAAAATCTTACTAAAATAACAAAATTAGTCCTATAAAATCTTTCGCTAATTCTATTTTGTTTGATGCAGGTAAACTATATACCTCAAACGTCGAATGCTAGCTGACGGTAATGTTTCAACTTGCTAATGTTAAATTAAACTTTTGACAATTTCTATTCAGAATATTCATTCTAGTGATGGTTGGTGTGAGTATTGCATGGGTACCCATCGTTCAAGCAGCAGCAAGCGGGCAACTATTCGACTATATTCAGTCAATCACCAGCTATCTCGGACCACCTATTGCTGTTATATTCATTACTGCAATATTTTGGTCGCGGTTAAATGAACCGGTAAGTGAATTTTGTTTGAAGTCAAGTTTATAAATCTATCTTTCCATTCTTTATTTTAATTCTGATTATTCATCCTATTTTATAATGCTGAAGAATAGAATTAATTTAGTTCTATAACCGTTGCTTTCTACAAACGTTCATTCATTGTTTTTTCTGTTGAATGATAAAAAGAAGAAGAAAAATAATTCAAGTCTTTTTTTTCCCTTCAGGGCGCTTTCTGGTCGCTGGTGATCGGAATGATTATCGGTGTAACTCGAATGATATTAGATTTTGTCTACTCACCTCCAGCTTGTGGCAAGGAAGATACTAGGCCGGCTATTGTTGGAAAGGTTCGATAAATCATCTGTTTTGTTGTTCTGAAATTTCTGCTATGTCGTGATAAAACTTTTTATGTAGACGCATTTAAGAGATACGAATTCGGTTCAAAACACTTGCATACAAGAACTGAAAACACCATTATACCATTATGCAAGTCGGCATCTGGCAAATTGCAATATATTGTAGAATGACAAAATCACCTAATGATTTGATTTATAAAAACTGGTGGCACGACAAAAATGTGAAGGCAAATCTTCCCAATATTAGATTAATCAAAAGTTGCATTCTTAGTGTAAGTTGTTAGGTTACTGACTTTAACTAGGATGAACTTTTTCAGGTTCACTACCTCTATTTCGCTTTGATTCTTGCAGCATGCACTTTATTTATTGCAATTGTTGTGAGCCTATGCACTCCACCAATACCAAATAAACACGTAAGTAATTTTGATGTAACTCAATTTTTAAGGCAAAGCGGCAATACTGAATTAGCATAAGTTTGCCGATAGTTCAAATTGAGTCAGGAAATTATTTAAATAATAATAAAAAAAAAACATAAAATGCTTGTTTGAAGGCTTTGAAATACCAAATTTAGCGTTCAAACCAATAAAGCCACGACCACCGTCGGCAAATAACATAAAAGCAGTCTATTTCGGGGTTTTAACAACACTATAATCTTCAGTTGCGTATATTCAATGGTCTGTATCGATACACCGCATTTGTCATCAGCACGCATCCCCATAAAATGATCGAGGTATTTGAACATCGAGTTTCAATAGACAAAATTTAAATCAATTAACTTTAAAAGTAACTTAGTACATAGTATAGTATATTTAAATATATTCGATATTTGTGATATCAGATTTTTGTTATTTATTCTAGTATGAGCATACTTATACCATTAGAAATCGTCTTTCCGTTATTTTCCTATTGCACATTATTTTCATAGCTGTATAGATTAACATGGTGGTCGAGAATGAGTAAAAGAAAGAGAATTCCCATCGATACAACATTTGAACTTCATGGATCCGATCAACAACATGATAAGGTGTTCTTATTGACATTTTTTGTTGGCAGTAGGGCAGCAAATTTATATTTACAATTACCAGTATGTATACTTTATATTTACAAACCAAATTTGCCTACTTTGTGATGATAATCAAGGGATGTGGTGTCACGTTATACATTACTCCAGCCCTCTAAGTGTTTGCGACTCCTGGTTGGTTTCTGCTACTGACTATAATTAACAACCAATATACTATCGACATTTAATGTTACAACAGAAAATATTGAACATTATTCAAAAAGCAATAAAGAAATATATTACGCTGTATTAAATACGATAAAATACAATTTGTATTGTATGCAACAATATATTCAAGAGAGAGCCAGCACAAGTTTGCAAAAATGTGTGTTCTTTACGTTCCCCGTAGTGACAATAAAAAAAATTCACAGTGTTTTACCGAATATTATCATTTTTGTATTGATTTATAATGAAGAATTTATTTATGCTCAGGAACAAGGAGCTGGATATACAAATAATGCAATGGTTTATGATGAATACGAAACAAACGAGTATGCAAACCCAAATACGGTTTATACAAATAAAAGCAATCCACAACCAAGTATGTTTAGCAGAAGAAAATATTATATTCAGAAAAAATATGCATTTCGTTTATAAATGTTTCAAGGCATCATTTTGTGCCTATTAGAAGTGAGAATAAAACATTTAAACATTGAAGCCTACTATGATATAATATTGAATAAATTGAAAACCCAACTCGGTACTATTATCGGTCAAAAAGGTCACCAAATTTCTGTGCTGCATCTTATTTTTAAATTACTCCTACTTTTTTCTATTGTATAATTTGAATATTCAATTTTAATATATCGACAGGAAAAGAAAAATCCTGTTTTAGGAAAGGATTTGACCTCTTCTGTGGCTTTGAAGAAGAGACGACAACATCTCAGCAGCCACCTCCAGATCTATTGATGGATATCAATGAAGAAAAATGGCCTGCTGTTATTGTCAATATAGCTGGTGCTATCATGTTGTCCACTATGGTGTTCCTTTTCGGATTTTACGCATAAATTCAACAATAGACCTAATGAAGTGTGAATTTCCAAAACCCATGGAATTTTATAATCTGTTAATCACGTCATTGCGATATTCACTCACAACGATCGTTATGGCTGTCGTATGCTAGTTCGACGTCGTTGTAATCAATCCTACCAATAAAATTTAAATTGTTTGAAAGTGTTTCTTTAGTTTTGTATTTGCAAGAAAAAATAGTCAACGTTTTGTAGTCTTCTATATAGGAAAGGAAATATTTTCGCTGGAAAAGAAGTCAGGACCGTGTTATCATAGTTGAATATAATAGGTTTTGAATTTCGAAATTTATTAAAATTTCAAACGGATTAAATTTGAAGGACTTATTGATACGTTGTAACGTTGATAAAGAACAAGAGAATATAACCAAAGGTGTTTTTATTTTTTTAGTAGCATCGCCGAAATAGTCACATATCTTTAGTGAAATGTCGGAAAAATTTGAAACGAAAAACCCATTCAATGCGCGAATTATCAACCACTGAAATACAGCATGTTACCCAAAATAGATTTGTCGATGAAACTATTGTGATCGCAGTATTCCTAATGATAGACGTTCGTTGATAAAATTTTTCAAGGTCGGAAAGTACTTGGCAAACTAAGATACTTTCAAAACATGCACTCGAATCTACATTGCACAAATTTGGAATTTCACGAATTGGACTAAACGTATCCAATATTTGCTTTCCTGCATGGTGTTACATCCATATTTTATTGAATTCTTTACATTTTCGACGGAAATATTTGCATTGAGAGGGATTGGTTATGCATTGTGCAGAGCTGAGACCGAGGTATTTAATATGAACGGTGCGCTTTTAAAAAGTGAGTTCAATTTTACTAGAATACAATAAAACATTATCATTGGCAAAAGTGTCTTTATCATTATATATCTGTCATTATGCCATTCTATCCGACCCTTATTTGAACATTTCCTACTTGGTTAAAATGGACAGACAATAAATGTAGAATCCACTTGAAAACCATGCAAATTCGAGGTACTAATGTAAAATTTGAAGAGTTTGGTATATTTTATATGAGTGAGCTGGTCCTATAATGTTGTTTGATCAATGCTTTTCCAACTTTCAATTATATTGGCCTTCGTTTGAGCAAAGTTTATTTGGGTCACAAGATTAAATGAGATCGTATGCCACAAAAGCCGACAACAAATAGTCGCAAATTTTGTTTAACTGTTCAATTGAGCGTATCATATAAAACTTTTATACTGAGAAATCCCACATCAGCATTTTAGTCAATTGAATGCTTAGAAATATATGCTTTGTATAAATGCTTTTCATGGTTTATGTTCAGTTGCGCAATCAGTGGTTTCAGCAACCTATCAGTATAAGAGGGTTATTTCAACTGTTAATAAACGTTTTTCGAATATAGTTGAGGCGTAGTATGACTTGTGTAAAACGCTGCAGCTTTCGTAGTATCCAATTATAAAGATTTTACCTACGCGTGCGGCTGTCGGAAACTTTTCGAAAGATATTTCGAAGATAGATTGCTCGGGTCTAGCGCATTTTTATAAAAAAGATTCTCCGTTTTTTGGGAGGAAATTCTTTTGCGGTCAATTAATGTTACTTAAATTGGAGAAACTATGGGTTGAGCAAATAAATAAAAACAGAAACATGTTTGGTATGATGTTCAGTTTAGATGACCGTGACCTTTACTCAGTTTTAGTATATTGACTACATTTAGAATATAAACCTACAATAAACCCTTGTTTTGAGTGATTATTAAATGCTAATTTCAGATGATGCTTTACTATACTGTACAAATGGCTTCAATGTCGACAGCAAGTTACTCGGACCAGACGACGGCAGCACTCCTGCCAGATGCAAATTTAGAAACATGGGATTTCGTTGTTATCGGTGTCTATTTCGCATTCATATTAGCTGTTGGGATATGGGTGGGTAATAGTTGAACTTTGATTGTTATGAATAAATCTGGTAAAGTTTTAAGATATTTTCATTTTACGGCCTTAATCTCTCCTTAATTTATATCGGAAATCGTAAAATATAATATAGCTTTGCGTATTGTGCCAAGTAAATTAAAGAGTATGAATAATTTTAACAAGGCACAGAAGCGCGTGAACAACACATCAAACTTAGATTCATAATTGACTATATAATAACATACCTGAATATTAAACTTCTGCTCGCAGGCGATGTGCAGCACGAATCGTGGAAACGTTGACGGATTCTTTCTCGCTGGAAGACACATAACCTGGTTTCCTGTCGGAGCATCTCTTTTCAGCAGCAATATTGGAAGTGGTAGTTTCGTTGGATTGGCTGGAACAGGAGTGGTCGGCGGAATTGCAGTCGGTGCATTCGAATGGAATGTGAATCCTTTTGTTGAAATTTCAGTTTTTAAATATAATTTACCCAGTAAACACAATCCCTTCTTTCGAGTATAACATTATTAGTATAACTTAACATAATTTTTTCGATTCTCGGTAAATTCCGTAATCATTAGAATGAAAAGTTTACAGAGATGAAAGAACAGACTAAATATTTGCGAATTTTTATTTAGAAGTATATGCACGACGTTATAACTTTCCACGCGCTGCTTCAGTCAATCAGCTCATTGTGGCGTTTGCCGGATGCTAATATTACGCTATATGTACCTAAAATATTTAGGTTTTGGGCGTCGATGGCATGCATGTCGCCTATATTTGAGGGTACTCATGCAAGTCAAAGTTCCCAATTCCTATTTAATATAAAAAAAATAACTTTCTACGACACTGCTCTAAATTGGCGCAGTTCATCATCATATACGTTTGCGTTTGGACAACTTAGACTAGACAAGGACAAAGGCACAGATTACGTGTTTGTTGTCTTTTTGCCACATTTTCTGGGGGTATTCAAGCATTTTATAAAATATTTTCTCAAATTTTGACTCAATTTTCTCAAAATGAGGCAAGGTCAATGTCACCAGTGATTGAATAATGAACTTGGATTAAAATTTTTACCAGGCTATGCTTACACTCTTCTTCTTGGGTTGGATATTTGCTCCAGTTTATATTGCTGCTGGAGTCGTCACAATGCCCGAATATCTTGAGGCAAGATTTGGAGGCCAAAGAATTCAAGTGTATTTATCAGTGTTGTCGATGTTGCTTTATATTCTAACGAAAGTATCGGTAAGATATAACAAATTCATGAAAACAAAAAATACATTTACAAAGAACAAGAAGTAATTTGGAATTGAATAAAGAGCATTTTTGTTTTGTAAGACTATTTTTAAGGATGCAGTCTGTCTACAGTAAATCTAGATTTATATATTTTCTATTGTCCTTCTTTCTTCGTATGAAGTTAATCCTTCTAATCCGTCATCAAATTTCTCAATTTTGCCCATATTGTTCGTATTGAACATGAAGGGTATTAAAATGCGCAATTATCCTTTTCATATTTTTGAGGGATATAATTATTTTAACAACAGATAATTAAATATTTCATTCATTCACTTTAGGCCGACTTATATTCCGGAGCAATCTTTATTCAAGAAGCTCTTGGATGGAATATTTATTTATCTATGGTTCTCCTTCTGTTGATCACTGGATTATATACAGTGACTGGAGGATTAGCTGCTGTCATATATACAGACACTGCTCAAACTTTAATCATAACTATTGGATCAGTAATCATGATGGCATTATGTAAGTATTTTATAATTATCTACATGTATTTTATTGAGTTGTCATAACACAAATGCTAGATTGAGCCTCCAATATTTTTTATTCGCAAAATTTCTTCTCTATCAGCGTTTGAAAGCATTGGGGGATATGATCAACTGGAAACAAAATACATGCAAGCAGTACCAAGATTGAGGCCAGCAAACACAACATGCGGTGAACCGAGGGAGGATTCTTTCAGCGTTTTTAGAGATCCAGTTACTGGAGATCTTCCTTGGCCTGGACTAACTTTCGGTTTAACAATATTAGCTACGTGGTACTGGTGCACAGATCAGGTCTGTGTTCAGGATAATATTTGAGATTTTGTGATCTACGTGAAAATAGCATACAATTCTTTAGTGCCATTTGCACTCCATTCTAAGCAATAATAATATTTCATTGCAACATAATTATGTTAATATTCGACATGAAATGTAAAAATTATTTCATGGTTCGACTCCTTGAAAACATATCACCTTGGTTTGTACTAACAACCTACGCTAACAATATTTATTCATTCGATGCTTCGAGTCGGTGTTTGTAAATTAGTATGTAGAGTACATGCAATTTTAGTTTATTTCATAAAATTCTCACAAGTGTTATCTCTAATGCACCAATATTCCATTCCAGGTCATTGTTCAAAGAACGTTGGCAGCAAAGAACTTGTCACATGCAAAAGGAGGTTGTGTTTTGGCAGGGTTTATTAAAATAATGCCAATGTATACAATTGTAATGGTTGGAATGGTCAGCAGAATCGTATTAACTGGTAAGTGAAGTTATTGGTCTGTGGCAATGCGGAACGATATTATTAATGTGTTAACAACCATTGCTTGGTCGACAAAACTTACGTTATTTGCCTCACATAGCCTATGTCAATGACATAAGCAGTCCCTGTTACAGACCCTATCTAATGTCTGGTACATCCCACTCTCACGTTACTGTTATACTGTAACTTGGTAGCTTAACATTATTCTTAGGCCTCGTACTAGTTGATGGTTAGTGCGTTGACAAACTTTTAGCCAGCCCCTATTACTTGCTTTATTTCGAGTATATTAGTTGCGTTACCTTTACTTAACTACAAAAACAGATATATACCTCAAATAGATTATGGAGTTGAATCATTACGTTAAAATTAAATAAGACAACACCATATTAATTTAGATGCAGTTGCATGTGTACTACCAGAAGAATGTATGAAATATTGTGGTTCAACCGTCGGTTGCTCCAATGTTGCTTATCCTAAGCTTGTACTGGCAACCATGCCAACGGGAGCAAAAGGTAAAGTTGTGAAGTTTGTTAACTACTGAAATATTTTGGAATGTATTGGGGACAATGAAGCGTTGTGGAACTTCGATATCATTTCATACAGATTACCGGCGGTAGCAATCGATCTAATTTTAAACTTGACTTTCACTTTACTTTTGACCAATGGATCGATTTGTTATTATGTTGTTGTGGATATATTCTTAATATTTTTCTACTTATTGTTTCTATTGTTGTTATAAAATTCGTTTCTCTTTTTCACTACAGACCAATTGCTTTGAAATTTTTTGTGGTTGAAGATTTTTGTTGTTGTTATTATTTTTATTTGGTTCAAAAACTTCCGTGGGCTCTATCGGATTCGTTTTTTTCTGTGTGTAATGAAGTCACCAAAAATAAACGCACCTTTCGAAGGTTCAAGCTTGCGTTTGTTACGATCTGGTAGTCAGCCAACGTCGGGAAGACCACGGTACTGCAAACGATTAGATAACCGTACTACTGCGTTAGGGCTTTCGTGTCCATATATTTATGATTGGTCTATTTTTCGAGTAGCACTCTGGCCGCGATTGGCAAAGTTTTGGGAAATTTCATTTATTTTTTGTGAGAAACATTAGATTTCGAGCCCATGGCATATGTGGTATTCTTACTTTTCTCGTAAAATATATTATACATTATATTTGAAAGGATTGCTACTAGCAGCCATGGTTGCGGCTTTTATGTCTTCTTTGACATCAGTATTCAACAGTGCTTCTACTTTATTTACCTGTGATATTTGGACAAAGATTCGAAAAAACGCATCTCAACGTGAATTAATGATTGTTGGCCGGTAAGGTATTTGTGAGAGTTTTGTAGGCCATTTATATATTATATACATTTACGACAAAAGTTGTTTCTATATCACAGTGTGTTTATTCTTGGCATGGTGGGAGTGAGCATTGCCTGGGTGCCAATCATACAGGAAGCTGCAAGTGGACAACTATTTGACTATATACAGGCTATAACAAGTTATCTCGGTCCTCCAATTGCAACCATCTTTGTGACTGCTGTATTTTGGCCAAGGCTTAATGAGCCGGTATGTATGTATGTGGTGTTATTTTGGGATAATTGATTCTCACCTGCTCTTTTCTCCTCTCCTTCTTATTTTCCGTTCACGTTTTTTCCGCTAAACACAACCAAAAAGTGAAGTCTTTTTCAGGGTGCTTTCTGGTCATTGTTAATCGGAATGGTTATTGGTATAACGCGAATGATATTGGATTTTGTCTACACAGCACCATTATGCGGAGAAGAAGATACAAGACCACTAGTTGTGTCAAAGGTTTGTGACCCGCTGTAACATCGATTAGAGTAGTAACATAGACATAATTCAAATTGATTAAAATTGTTTAGTTCGGTGCAAAATTTGCAATCTCAGTATAAATTATAATGTACGATAGGTTAATAAAAATAAATTCTTCTCGTTGTTAATGATGCTTTCAAAATAATTATTTTATTTCAGGTCCACTATCTTTATTTCGCGTTGATTCTTACGGGTTGCACGTTGATCGTAGCAGTTAGTGTTAGCTTGTGCACTCCCCCTATTGCCAGTGAACACGTGAGTTTTTCTTGCTTAGTACATAACATATATATTACTGAATTCAAACAAAAGAGTAATGCTAAAATATATGGACACGAAAGCCAAAACGAAGTAGTATGGAATCTTACATTACCGGTAGTCTGACCATCAGAGCTCTGAGATGTAATCACGAAATCACGGGACGCAATTTTTAATTTGGATAACGTCATCACACAAAACTTCGAAGTGAAGAACTAATCCCATATACCCGGGAATACCCCCCAGATATTTTTGAATATATAAAAGCCCTTTAGGGGCAACAAAAAGCTTCAACCAATGAAAATTTTGAAGAAATAATTCCAGTAATTGAAGATAGAAGCGATTTTTTCCAACAACAACATATTAACATCACAAAACAATCCTTGGATCCGCGTCAAATAAGAAAACGATTTAATATATATTCATAGTTTTTCGTGATCTTTTTTGGTCTCAAAAAGGGACGTATTTGGTATATAATTTACACTATGTAACGCCCTTCTCCTGAATAACTCAATAGGAAAGGGAAATATAAACTTATTTTTATCTCTATAAAAAATTGAACCGTCCAGATTTTCATAGTTGTACAGATTGACATTTTGGACCCGAATGAGTAAGAAGAAAAGAATTCCAATCGAACAGACTTTTGAACTTCATGGATCCGGTAACCAGCAGAACGATGTAAGCGCGGCGAATTATTGTTTTCGAAGCGGTGTACTAAAGCTAAAATAGAGGATTATCTCAATGAATTTATTATCTATATATATATACCACAAAAGATATCGGATATTCTTTTCAAAATACGTATCAATCTGACGATTGTTTTTCTGGCGACAAAGTATAGAATGAAATTGTGTTTTGAGTGGATTTTTGATATGTCCTCTAAATCAGTGCTCTTCAACCGGGTATACAGTATACCCAAGTGTATACCGGACCATAAGTTGGGTATACAACTGATAAAGGGTATACGAAGGGTATACAGTCTAAGTCAGGGATTCTAAACTGTAAAATAATGAATTATAAAAGATTCAAGCGGAGACAACAATGCAAACGAGGCGCACATGAAATATAAAATGGTATTTACGCAAATAACCGACTCAAGCACATTGTTACGTCACAAATTATATAGATAATGCGGGCACGTGTCTGGGTTGGTGATTTTGGCTGCCATGCATGTTGCTTGATTTAACATTGAGCAATATTCCCGTTCACGCTAAGGAAACGCATTCAAATCACAACGTTTATAACTAGCCTGTTAGATTGCATGATGATATTGCAGTACAATCTGTGCTTGAAATTTAATGTTTATTTAGGTACTGAATGAACGTTAGTATTTGTAAGGTATACAAAGTTCTTGAAAAATTGTAAAAGGTATACCACGGTAAAAAAGGTTGAAGAACACTGCTCTAAATTACTTTTTTCTGAATTTTATGAGAGGAGACCATAACATAAAAATAGCATAATGTTCAGGATTTTAAGTTACTAGCACTATTGGTACAATTTATTCAACAGGAAACAGAAGTAGGATACCCAAATGCGGCGATGGTTGGCGATAATGAGGAAATGACAAATGGGAATGGAAAACATGCTGTAGTTATTGAAACTCACGAAAGCCATCCTCCACAAAGTACAAGTTTTTTTAATGATATATTTTGTATCAAACTTACGTGTTGGGAATTTTTGCCAATGTTGTGTCGGGGTCGGTTCAAATTGAACCTAGCAGCACATTTTCAATTGTGAAAATGAACTAACTATCGTTTTCTTTGGCTCAACAGAAAAACAAAAGTCTTGGCTGAAAAGAGGATTTGACCTCTTTTGCGGTTTTGATGACCAAACCTCAAAGCAACCTTCACCGGATTCTGTAATATTGGATATCAACGAAAAGAAATGGCCGGCATTAATTGTAAACATAGCTTGCGTGTTCATGTTAGCCACAATGGTGTTCCTTTTTGCATATTACGCATAATACCTCACGTAAAAGGAGAAATAATGAGGAAATTATAAATTTCTACATGATGGTATTCCTATTTCAATGTTTCTTTTTTGAATAATCAGAACGGATAATTGCTTAAACAATTTTAATATTGTCAATCCCTATAACTGACAGTCAATTTGAAGACATACAAGAATAAAAACAATTCTGGTTGAACATTTTATAAAAACTGATTTTGATGAAAAATACAACTGATCTATTCGTAATGTGTTTGTGAGTCACAAGTTACAACAGGGTTTTGCATCATTAATTTATCCATAGAAAAATCCTGGTTTAGCAAAGGATTTGACCTTTTCTGCGGCTTAGAAGAAGAGACGAAAACATCTCAGCAGCCACCCCCAGATTAATTAATTGATGGATATCAATGAAGAAGGCCTGCTGCTATTATAAATATAGCTGGTGCTATCTTGTTGGCCACCATGGTGTTTCTTTTCGGATTTTACGCATAAATTCAACAATAGACTTAATGAAGTGTAATTTTCAGAACTTGTGGAATTTTATAATCTGTTAATCACGTTATGGCAATATTCTCCTACAAAGATTGTTGTTATATTATAAGATATAATGAAAAGGAAATTTCAGTTTCAACAATCTCACTGAGTCAATGGACTGTTTCTAATAAATAGTTGTCTGTATTTGAGTCAAACAGTACTAACATTAAAAATACATTTTGTGATATTTAGGATTGGGTCGCGAGTATTCATAAAACTCAGATTCAGGTCGCGCTCGCGAAAAATTTGGTTCTAATTTGAACGGCTTTTCTTCATTTCAAAATGCCAAAACTATAAGTTGGAGCGCATAGGTTGCTAAGGACGTTTTGGACATTTTATGAATATCAAAATTTCGTTTTTATGTTGTAACGCTGAAAAAAATAACAGACTAAAACGTTCACAAATAAGTACAAACACTTGAAATTATTTTGGATTTTCAAAGTTTTTTTTCGTAACATCGCCAAAATCGTCATAAATCTCTTTTCAAATGAGTGCTGACTGCAAAATTTGATAACTTCACAACCAGGCAAAGTTAAAAGCCGTGAAAACCCACACAAACATAAAAAACAAGCCGGTAGGCGCCCGGGATCTCCGCTGATAGTTGAAGGACCGCACTCAAGCAACCGGTTATCATCCACAGAAACTTGAGGATCAATAACGGCAGCGTGATTTAGTGAGCAGTTTACCGAAACTGCCTTAAACCCTGTGCGTTTCGTAGACATTCTTGCGTTATGATATACTTACTGTACCTAATGATTAAGGTATTGTTCACTAAAATCCCTGGAGCTTCTCCAGTTCATGGAGTATCGAAACGAAAGACGACTTGTTCGATAGAATATTTTCTTCTGCGGAAGGTAGCGTTCTCGGAATTTCAATTTTCGACATGGTTAACGAGAACACGTGTTAAATTGTGAAAAAAATTGAAAACTTCATAGCGATCCGCGCGTTTTATCGTTGTTGGCGCGGAAACAAGACTTCAATCCAAACTTTCTATAGAACTCTCATTACTAGGGTAACAGGAAAACCAGCATGTGAAATTTCGTGTAGATCGATCCAGCCGTTAAGACTCCAGAAATGGACACACAGGCAGACAAACAGAACGGTCGATAATAGGGGTCTCCTATAGCGGAGATCCAACAAGCCGGTAGGCGCCCAGGATCTCCTCTGATAGTTACGGCCCGCTCTCAATCAACCTGTTACCATTCACTCAAACTTGCGGATCAATAACGCCAGTGCAATTCAGGTGAGGGGTTACCGAAACTGCCAGTTCAATTTAAACGCTGCGCTTTTTGTAGCATACTCGCGTGATGATAGACTGTAGCTAATGATTAAAACAAACCGGCAGAGAGAGAGAGAGAGAGATGGTTTATTATTTTTGTCAACCAAAATACAAATAAATTTTAAAATAATAAATTACAAAGCATTTATTTTGCTATAGACTGGGAGATGGCGATACGACCGAAGGTCATCAAAGTCAGCCACCACCCATTCCAGCCAAGGGTAGGGTGTCGCCTTATTATGTGTTAGATAATGTTCTTTCATGGTGGACGCAATCGCGAGTTGAACACAATTAGATTAAAATTTAAAGACAGTTCGAATTCCCGTAGTTATTATGGATTGAATATTGCGCTACAACAAAACGTCATTATAGGCTATTTTAACCAATGCGCAAACGCGGCAACTGCTCAAAAGGCATTGCAGAGTAACTTGAGATTCCGATGTTGATGCGATTTTACTACCCCGACTTATTGGCATGTTATATGCGAAAACCCCTTTTTTCAGGCTTAAAAACGGGTCTCGGTTATTTACCGGGTAGACTTATTCGCCGGGAATTACGGTAATTATTAAGAGAAAAATATAAAGTAACCGTTGACTAGTTAACTACCTAATATTTAAACGAAGTATGCTCTCAGGGGCTCAATATGGATCTCCGCCATTGCTTGAGGCCCGCGTAATTTCAGTTAACTAAGGGACAAGTCGATAGGCGCCCAATATGGATCCCCGCCATTGCTTGAGGCCCGCGTAATTTCAGTTAACTAAAGGACAAGTCGGTAGGCGCCCAACTGGATCTCCGCCATTGCTTGAGGTCCGCGTAATTTCAGTTTACTAAAGGGTAATACGAAGACGCCATTGTACCGAGAAAAGTGTAACAGAACTGCCAGTTCATTTTAAGCGCTGTGCGGCTCATCGGTATCCGTGTGCATGGTTATGCGGTAGCTAATAATTAAAACACGTTCACTTGAATCCCTAAGGCTTTCTTAGTTTATGGACTATCAGATGAAAGACGACTAGTTAGAAAGAGTTCTTCCGAGGTAGCATTCTCGGAATTTTAATATTCGACTTGGTTGACAAGAAAATGGCCGAAATGTATAAAAATGGCAATATTTCAACGATCGGTGCGTTTTTGCTGCTGCCATGGAAACGGAACATCAATCCGGACTCCCGGTGAAACGCACATAACTAGGGTGACAGGATAACCTATGTGTGAAATTTCATACAGATCAGTCCAGCCGCTAAGACTCTACAGCTTGGACACACAGACAGACAGACAAACAGACAGACAAAACGACTGATAAATAATAAGGGTCTCCTAGAGCGAGGATCCAATAATGTTCACTAAAATGCCTAATGCTTCTCCAGTTTATGGCGTATCGAGACGAAAGACGACTTGTTCGAAAGAGTATTTTCTTCTGCGGAAGGTAGCATTCTTGGAATTTCGATTTTTGACATGGGTGACGGGAAAACGGCGATAAATTGTGAAAAATATTGAAAATTTGATAACGATCGGCGCGTTTTTTTCGATGTTGCCATGAAAACGAAACTTCAATCCGAACTGTCTATAACACGCACAGTACTGCACAGTACTAGGGTGACAGGATAACCCACGTGTGAAATTTCATCTAGATCGGTCCAGCAGTTAAGACGCTAGAGCTAGGGCTGGGCATTTTCGAATACCTGATGATTTCAGAATCGAATCGAATATTTTTTTTGAATCGAATCTCGAATAATTGGAAGGTATGAAATTGTATGTAACTTTCTTATTGTATTAGGTCCTCCAGACACATAAATTACTGAAAACGTAGAATATATCGCTCAGACAGATTGCTGAGCGTTCACATACAATAAAAACACGTTTTCATCAATAACTCACTACAGAAAAGCGTCGTATGTCAGAATTGCGTTGAAAAAAAAAAAAAAAAATAGGAAATTCACCTCGACCATTGGCGGAAAGAAAAAAAAAACAAGATGGCGGCGATTCGAAATATTGCTCTAAACCGATTCGAATAATTTACTATTCGATTCGAAGTGCCCAGCCCTAGAGCTGGACACACAGACAGACAGAACGACCGATGATAATAAGAGTCTCCTATAGCGGAGTTCCAAAAAACTCAAAGTCGAAATGTATTCGGTAAGCAGCAATATGCATTAGAAAATACGTTTCATCAATTTGGAATTTCTCGAGTTGGAATCAAACGTATCCAATGTTTTCTTTCTGGATGATGTTACATAATATTTCATTGAATTTTTCGATGGAAATATTTGCATTGCGGGGGATTCGTTATGCATTGTGCATATGAGATGAGGTTATTTGGTATGAACATTGCGCTTTTGGAAAGTAAGTTTAATTTTACTGGAATACAATAAAACATTATCATTGACGAAAAGTGTTTTTATCATTGTAACTCTGATTTGACCATTCTAGACCGAACCTTATCTGAACATTTCATATATACTTGTTTGAATATTGGATGGACAAACAATGGATGTAGAATCTATTTCAAAACCATGCGAATTCGATGAACTAACGTGGTTTATGTTTAGTATATTTTATATGAGTGAGCTGGTCCTAAAAAATTGTTTGATCAGTGCTTTTCCGACTTTTAATCATATTGTCTTTTGAGCAAGTTTTATTTGGGTCACAAGATTGAAAGAGATCGCATGCCACAAAAGCCGGCAACAAAAAGTCGCAAATTTTTAACTGTTCAATTGAGCGTATCATATAGAACTTTCATACTGACAAATCCCTCATCAGCTATTGAGTCAATTGAGTTTCACAGTTTATTATGCTTTTTATGGTTTAGGTTCAGTTGCGAAATCGGCTTCAGCTAATGACCAGCACGAGAGGGATAATCCCAAGTGTTAATAAACGTTGACCGAAGAATGATGGCAAAAAGTTGAGGCGTAGTATGACTTGTGTAAAACAAAACGCTGCAGCTTTCGTAGTATCCAATTATACATATTTTTAACACGCGCGGGGCCGTCAAAAACGTCTGTTACAAAAATATCCCGATGACGAACTTGGAAATGTAATTTGCCTAAAATTATATTTCATTGATTATTTAATCTAATCACGTTTATGTGAATTTTGGCTCTGGCCTAGTGCATTTTTGGAGAAAAGACTCTCCCGTCCTTTGACGGGAATTCTTTTGCGGTTAATCAATGTTATACTTAAATTGGAGAAACTATGAGATGAAAAGAGAATGAATGAAATCGGAAAAACGTTTCGTATGATGTTTAGTGTAGAATAGATGACCGTGACTTTCACTCAGGTTTAGTATAGCCTATTGACTACGTTTAGAAGAGCATAGATATACCCTTGTTTTGAGAGATTATTCAATGATTATTTTAGGTCAGGGGTCGGGAGAGTCTTGAAAGATACATATTTTCAATTGCATTTCGTTGCGAGCCATATAATATTTTTCATCACCTAATCATGTCTTAAATTTCTACTCAACAGTTAAAACATATAATGTCAATATACAATTAATATGCCTTCTGGTGCTGCATGTTGTCGCTGAGGGCATTTGAACGACTGCTCACATGCAGCACAGGTTGAAATCCACGATACTCATCACCTTACTTTCTTTTGGGCTCTCTCCGTTAAAAATTAACCTACTAGTCCAATCTAAATATTACAAATAAACAATACAAACTGACGGAATACTTTTATTCCTTTATTGCATCGCGACTCTAACGTAATGTGATATCACAAAATATATTTCAGAATCCTATAGTTTTGTCACAATGCCTATCTGATTTTCTCGCATAACATAGGCATGCGGTGAGTGCTCGTTCCCAAACGTATTGGCAAATTTTCTGCCAAATTTGTCTATAAAAGAGAAATCTGGTAGTAATAGAAGCTTAGCCTTAGAATATTGGATTTTTCTGGGAGCCATATGCCGTCACCAAAAGAGCCATATATGGCTCGCGAGTAGGGATGTAAGTTTCAGAATTTCGAAGCGATTCGAATCAACATCAATTCGAAGCAATTTAGGAAATTGAGACTTGATTTTATTTGGAAAAGAATTGCATTTATATAACACAGGGCAATTGCACGACGCAGAGGCGATGTCTCGTTACTTTACGTTTACAGCTTTCCAAAGTCCTAACACTCCCAGAATTGTTATATTTCATATCGGTAGCAGCAATCGTTTCGCTCTATTTTGTTCGACTACTTAAAATGTTACGAAGTTTCACAGATAATTTAATATAATAAACGTTCATCTAGAACAGCGTTCCCCAAACTGTGATCCGCGAAACACTAGCGTGGGTGGACGGACAAACGATCCTATACAATAACTTCTGCAGTATGCGAAAGTTATTGTCTCACTCCAAGAGTAGTGTGATTAATTTTATTTGCAATGGTAGCAGTAGCATCCAAATGCTCAATTTGTTCTAATTCTAAACAAGCGAAGAATCGCATTTGGAGGAAATTGTACGTTAGATACTGAAGTTTGAGCAGTCATGTAACATTCATAGTTTGAGAATATTTATTTTTCGCTGTTTGCATAATACATTAATACTTGCCAAGGTTTCTTGAAGAATTATCAACACTTACTACTAAAAATTAGGCACGCTTATATCTGAATTGTTTGATTTGAATAAATCTTAAATAAATGATGAAACATTTACTGGGTGCAATTAAATAATAAAATCAACAACTTGAATGGAACATGAAAAATACAAATTTTGTGTCGATATTAATAACAATGTGCCCACAAAGCCTTCTTTTTGGCACCGGTGGAATTTTTTGTATGTGCGTGTGTGCAGTTTGAAGAAAGTTAACGGTAATATGATGATATACTAAATAGAATCAGATTCGAAAAGATTTGAATCGGAACATTGTGATTCGAAAAAAAAAAATATTCGAAACTTACATCGCCCATCGCGAGTCATGGGTTCTCGACTTCTGTTTTAGGTAAAGCTCTAATATAGTGTACGAATGGCCTCAATAACGACAGCAAGTTACTCGGACCAGACGACGGCAGCACTCCTGCCAGATGCAAATTTAGAAACATGGGATTTCGTTGTTATCGGTGTCTATTTCGCATTCATATTAGCTGTTGGGATATGGGTGAGTAATTGTTCAACTTCGATTGTTATAATCTGGTAAATTTTTAAGATATTTTCATTTTACGGCCATAGTTACAATGGAAATTTGTATTTTTTTACTAGCAAAATGTGCGCATTTTTCTCCTTCATTTATATAGACAATCGTAAAATATAATATAGCTCTGCGTATTGTGCTCAGTAAGCAAAATATAGAGCAGGGCTACTCAACTGGCGGACCGAATCCGGACCTTTCGCGTATTTGATTCGGACCGCACCTAATTCTTTATTTTGGATCATTAGCCCCACATTTGAAGTTTCCTTTTATAAAATGACTTTCATAGTTTTGAATATATATGTAAAGAACTATAACACACTAATAGTCAATATTGATTCATTAGCCAGTTTAATCATTAGCCAGTCGAGGAAGTGTGCGAATAAGGATGCCAAAATATAATTTCTGGAAAGACCGGACCCAAATAATTTTGAAGTTTTGTGTGCGGATCTTCGATGAAAATAGTTGAGTAGCCCTGATATAGAGTATGAATAATTTTAACATAGGTACAAAAGCGTGTGAACAACACTTTAATCTCAGATTCATAATTGACTATATAATAACATAACTGAATAAATTTCTACTCGCAGGCGATGTGCAGCACGAATCGTGGAAACGTTGACGGATTCTTTCTCGCTGGGAGACACATAACTTGGTTTCCTGTCGGAGCATCTCTTTTCAGCAGCAATATTGGAAGTGGTGATTTCGTCGGATTGGCTGGAACAGGAGTGGTCGGCGGAATTGCAGTCGGTGCATTCGAATGGAATGTGAATCCTTTTGTTGAAATTTTAATTTTTAAATATTTACCCATTAAACACAATCCCTTCTTTCGAGTATAACATTGTTTGCATAACTTAACATAATTTTTTTCGATTCTCCGTCAATTCTGTAATTATTAGAATGGAAAGTCTACAGAGATGGGAGAACAAACTAAATATTTGCGAATTTTCATTTAGAAGTATATACACGGCGTTATAACTTTTTAAGCGCTGCTTCAATCATTCAGCTAATTTTGGCGTTTGCCGGATGCCAATACTACGCTATATATGCCTAAAATATCTAAGTTTCGGGCGTCGTTGGCATGCATGTCGCCTATATGGGGGGATCCTCATGCAAGTCATGTATGCCTTTACAAAGTTCCCAATTCCTAATAAATAAAGAACAAATAACTTTCTGCGACAATGCTCTAAATTGGCTTAGTTCTTCATCATATACGTTTGCGTTTTGACAACCTAGACTAGACAATGCCAATAATAATAAAAGCACAGATTACGTGTTTGCTGTCTTTTTACCATATTTTTTTGGGGATATTCACGCACTTTATAAATATTTTCTTAAATTTTGTTTTAATTTTCTCAAAATGGGGCAAGGTCAATGTCACCAGTGATTATATTATAAACTTGGATTATAATTTTTACCAGGCCATGCTTACGCTCTTCTTCTTGGGTTGGATATTTGCACCAGTTTATATTGCTGCTGGAGTCGTCACAATGCCCGAATATCTTGAGGCAAGATTTGGAGGCCAAAGAATTCAAGTGTATTTATCAGTGTTGTCGGTGTTGCTTTATATTCTAGTGAGAGTATCGGTAGGTTTTTACAAAATACATGAAAACAAAAACAAAAAGCGCATTTTCGTTTCGTAAGACTATTATTAAGGATGCAGTCTGTCTACAGTAAATTTAGATTTATATATTCTCAATTGTCCTTCTTCGTATGAAGTTAATTCTTCTGATCCGTAATCAAATTTCTCGATTTGCTCAATTTTCCCCCATATTGTTCTTAGGTATTGAAATGCGCAATTGCCCTTTTCATATTGAGTGATATAAATATTTTGATTTATTTCAACAACACATAATTAAACATTATATTCATCCACTCTAGGCCGACTTATATTCCGGAGCAATCTTTATTCAAGAAGCTCTTGGATGGAATATTTATTTATCTATGGTTCTCCTTCTGTTGATCACTGGATTATATACAGTGACTGGAGGATTAGCTGCTGTCATATATACAGATACTGCTCAAACTTTAATCATAACTATTGGATCAGTAATCATGATGGTATTGTGTAAGTATTTACCTATATTTTATTGGATTGTCATGACACAAATGCTAGTTTGAAGATTGAGCCTTCAATATTTTTTTATTCGCAAAAATTCTTCTCTGTCAGCGTTTGAAAGCATTGGGGGATATGATCAACTGGAAACAAAATACATGCAAGCAGTACCAAGATTGAGGCCAGCAAACACAACATGCGGTGAACCGAGGGAGGATTCTTTCAGCGTTTTTAGAGATCCAGTTACAGGAGATCTTCCTTGGCCTGGACTAACTTTCGGTTTAACAATATTAGCTACGTGGTACTGGTGCACAGATCAGGTTTGTGTTCAGAATAATATTTGAGATTTTGTCATCTACGTGAAAACGCAAAAATAGCATGAAATTCTTTAGTGTCATTTGCACTCCATTCTAAGCAATAGTGATATTTCATTGTAACATAATATGTTAATATCCGACATAAAATGGGAATGTGAAAAGTATTTCATGTTTTAACTCTCGAAAACATATCACCTCGGTTTATATTAACACCCTACGCTACGGATGTTTATTCTTTCGATGCTTCGAGTCGGTGTTCGTAAATTAGTATGTAAAGTACATGCAATTTTAGTTTATTTCATAAAATATTCACTAGTGTTATCTCTAATGCAACAATATTCCATTCCAGGTTCTTGTTCAAAGAACGTTGGCAGCAAAGAACTTGACACATGCAAAAGGAGGTTGTGTTGTGGCAGGGTTTATTAAAATAATGCCAATGTATACAATTGTAATGGTTGGAATGGTCAGCAGAATCGTATTAACTGGTAAGTGAAGTTATTGGTCTGTGGCAATGCGGCACGATATTATCAATGTGTTAACAACCATTGCTTGGTCGACAAAACTTACGTTAGTTGCCTCAAATAGCCTATGTCAATGACAAAAGCAGTCTCTGTTACAGAGACCTATCTAATGTCTGATACAATGGCGTAACAAGACTCTCGTGCCCCCCCCGCAAAAATATTTCGTCGAAATGACCTTAAAAACTCTCGGACATAAGCTTAAACAACGCTTATTTTATTTCATCAAAATGCATTACATGTCGCTATAAAAAAGCAATGGTAACCTAAAATTTGCCGTTTATTTTGGTTATGGTTACTTTATAATTTTTTTCATACGTTCTACCTCTTCAACTTTTCTGTGCGCCACTGAGAGGTTTTGATTTCGACATCATTCTGACAGCATTCGTAATTTTGCCGGTGCGATCAAACCACATGACGTTGAAAATCGACGACTCAACGGTATAAGATGTGCATTACCTGTTTTGCACTGCAGCTTTTGGTTTGCGGCTTAAATTTCTAAATTCTAACCGCTTGGGCCCCTTTGCGCTGTGGGCCCTCCCGCGACGCGGGGGTTGCGGGCGTGGATGCTACGCCACTGGTCTGATACATCCCACTCTCACGCAGGGGCGTGCCAAACTAGTCTGCTGCCCGGGGCGAGTTTCTGATAATGCTGCCCCTTATACCTAACTTCTAAAATAATTTGGGTGATAAACAGATTATAGATGTCGTTATACACGAGAATATATCAAATAAAGGTCAAGTAAGAAAGAAACGTTTGTTTTATTAAAATGAGCATCAAAAAGGTTGCAATAGTAAAATATAGAAAACATTTTTCCGGGGTCAAGAGTCGGGGAAACAACCCTTGTTGAATAACCATCACCCCAGAACACATACTGTTAGCTTTTAATTAAATAAAAACACATCTAGAAGAGCATGTGTAATAACGCAAACTCTACAGCTTGGTTCTGCTGCCCCCTACAATGTGCTGCCCGGGGCGGTTGCCCCCTTCGCCCCCCTCTAGGCACGCCACTGCTCTCACGTTACTGTTATATATACTGTGACTTGGTAGCTTAACATTATTCTTAGGCCTCGTACTAGTTGATGGTTGGTGCGTTGACAAATTTATTTTAGCCAGCCCATATTACTTGCTTTATTTCGAGTATATAAGTTGCGTTACATTTATTTAACAACAAAAACAGATATATACCTCAAATAGATTATGCAGTTGAATCATTACGTTAAAATTGAATATGACAACACCATATTAATTTAGATGCAGTTGCATGTGTACTACCAGAAGAATGTATGAAATATTGTGGTTCGACCGTCGGTTGCTCCAATGTTGCTTATCCTAAACTTGTACTGGCAACCATGCCAACGGGAGCAAAAGGTAAAGTTGTGAAGTTTGTTAACTACTGAAATATTTTGGAATGTATTAGGGACAATGAAGCGTTGTGGAACTTCGATTTCATTTCATACATATATGTTACCGGCGGTAGCAATCGATCTAATTTTAAACTTTCACTTTTCTTTTGACCAATGGATCGATTTTTTATTATGTTGTTGTGGATATTCTTAATATTTTTCCTGTTATTGTTTCTATTGTTGTTATAAAAATCGTTTCTCTTTTTCACTACTGACCAATTGCTTTGAAATTTTATTGTTATTATTTTTATTTGGTTCAAAAACTTCTGTGTGCTCTATCGGATTCGTTTTTTTTTGTGTGTAATGATATCATTGAATTCATCAAATGCATAAATGCACCTTTCGAAGGTTCCATCTGTTGGTCAGCCAAAGTTGGGAAGACTACAGTGCCGTACGGCAGGGCTACTTAACTGACGGATCGCGTTATTTGATTCGGACCGCACCGCACCGGAATTCTTTATTTTGGATCATTAGACCCACTTTTGAAGTTTCCTTTTGATAAAATGACTTTGATAGTTTTGAATATATATGAAAAGATCTATAACACAATAATAAGCAATTTTGATTAGCTAATAATCATTAGCCGGTCGAGGAAGTGCGCGTTAAGGATGACGAAATATAATTTTGGAAAGTCCGGAGCCGAATAATTTTGAAGTTTTGTATGCGGATCTTCGGTAAAAATAGTTGAGTAGCCCTGCCGTACGGTACTGCAAAAGATTAGATACCCGTACTATTCCGTTTGGGCTTTCTTGTCCATATATTTAGGCATTGCTCTATTTTTCGAGTAGCGAGTCTGGCCGCGATTGGCGCCAACTGCTTCCAAGTTTTGGGAAGTATTTGCATTTATTTTTTTGTGAGAAACATTAGATTGCGAGCCCATGGCATATGTGGTATACTTCGTTTTCTCGTAAAATACATTATACATTATATTTGAAAGGATTGCTACTTGCAGCCATGGTTTCGGCCTTAATGTCTTCTTTAACATCAGTATTCAACAGTTCTTCAACTTTATTTACTTGTGATATTTGGACTAAGATTCGGAAAAACGCATCTCAACGAGAATTAATGATTGTTGGCCGGTAAAGTATTTGTGAGAGTTTTGTAGTTCATTTATATATCATATGCATTTACAACAATAGTACGGTTAAAAGCAGTACCTATTATCACATTGACTTGCGCTGTTTAGGAAGAAACATATCGTCACGCCAATACCGAATGGCGTAAGTCGTTTTTGGCGATTTTGAGTTTTCTATAAAATAGGTATTTATGTAATGCCTGTCTGTCAACTCAGATTTTATTTTAAGAATTCCGAAATCCATAAAAATGGAGATTTAGTATGACATGCACATTTGTGCAATTGTTTGGTCATAATGAATTATCATTGTTACCGCAGGACTATTGCGACGTCACAAAGGCAAAATACCCTCGGCGAAGTATTTTCGAGTTTTTGCATCTCGGATTCTAGCTTAACGCTTATAAATTTCAATTTATACTACACTACAGTATAGGAAGGCGTGCACTTGTGATACTCACTGTCCGAGTCCAATTCACCTAGGTTGGCTTTTATACTGGGTGCATTGCTGTTTTATTCTTTATATTTAATCTTAGTCTTATTTCGGTGGGTGTGCAGATCGTGTTATATTATTGAAATATATATTTTTAAACATAAAAAATAATGTAATTGAAACTGATTAGCTATTTTGGGGATTAGACATTGTAGATACTGAAAATTACATTCGTTTTTGGAATGTTCAGTTTTCAGGACTGGTGCATATAGTAAAGTTGCAAAATTGCGTATGTCCCCTAGTCATAGACACATTTCCGCCTAAGTCACAGTGCGCCATTATGACGTCCCTTAACTGCGTCATACAAATTAACTTAAATCGGGCTGCGATCAAAAAATTTAACCATGGCAAATTATTGACTCTCGATGGCATAACAATATCATCAGGAAGTTTTTTACGTTTTTCTCAAAACTGCTAAAAATGACTTACGCAATTCGGTTATTGGCGTGACAATATTTCTTTTTGCAGCCAGTTCTTTTTTTTTTATTGAGTGACCATGATTTATTTCAAATTGTAATTGAATTACAAAGAATGCTAGTTGAACTAATTTTTTTTTATACCTCAGCGTTTTTATTCTTTGCATGGTGGGAGTGAGCATTGCCTGGGTGCCAATCATACAGGAAGCTGCAAGTGGACAACTATTTGACTATATACAGGCTATAACAAGTTATCTCGCTCCTCCAATTGCAACTATTTTTGTGACTGCTGTATTTTGGCCAAGACTCAATGAGCCGGTATGTATGTAGATAGTGTCAATGATGATTGATTTGTACCTACTTTGCCCTCTCTTCTTTCTACCTGCATTTCTTATTTTCCGCTCCACCGTTTGTCAGCTAAAACAGAACCAAATCGCGAAATATATTTCAGGGTGCTTTCTGGTCATTGTTAATCGGAATGGTTATTGGTTTAACCCGAATGATATTGGATTTTGTCTACACAGCGCCATTATGCGGAGAAGAAGATACAAGACCACTGGTTCTGTCAAAGGTTTGTTCCCCGCTTTAACATAGACTAGAGTAGTTAGCATACATAGACAACATAGACGTAGCAACATAGACAAAACTTGAATTGATAAAAATTGTTTAGTTCGGTTCAGAATTTGCCGTCTCAGTATAAATTATAATGTAAAGGTTAATAAAAATAAATTCTTCTCGATGCTTTTGAAAATATTATTTTAATTCCAGGTCCACTACCTTCATTTCGCGTTGATTCTTACGGCTTGTACGTTGATAATAGAAGTTAGTGTCAGCTTGTGCACTCCTCCTATTGCCAGTGAACACGTGAGTTTTTCGTGTTCAAAATATTACGTAATACTGAATTCAAACAAGAGAGTAATGCTAAAATATATAGACTCGAAGGCCAAAACGAAGTAGTATGAAATCATTTACAATACCGGTAGTCTGACCACCAAATCACTGAGATGTAATCACGAAACCACGGGACGCAATTTTTAATTTTGATAACGTCATCACACAAAACTTCGGAGTGAAAAACGAATCCCATACATCCCACAGATATTGTTTGAAATGATTGCTCATAAGCATAAAGGCCTTTTAGCGACAACAACAAGCTTTAACCAACGAGAAAGCAATTAGTTCAGTAGTTGAAGAGGGAAGCGATTTTTTCCGAACAACAGCATAATAACATAACAAAACGATTTCTGGGTTCCCGAGGTCAAACAATAAAACTATTTAGGCACAGTTTATGGTCTGAAAAAGTAGGTACGGTATATGTTATATTCAGTGGTGGTATTCGGCCGGTTCGCCGGTATCAGCGAACCGGGTAGCATTACTGATTACTGTCAATGACTTTTTGTAACAGAACCGGGTGAAAAATATGACTTTTGTGATGGAACCGGCTGATAAAAAAATTGGAACCTACCACCGGTTATATTATTTGCACTCTCTAACTCTCATCTCATAAGTAACTCAATGAGCAAAGGTAATATAAATTTTTTTTTATCTGTGTGAAAATGAAACCGTCCATTTTTCATAGTTGTACAGATTGACATATTGGACCCGACTGAGTAAGAAGAAAAGAATTCCAATCGAACAGACTTTTGAACTTCATGGATCCGGTAACCAGCAGAACGATGTAAGCGCGGCAAATCAGTGCTTTCGAAGCTTTATACTAAAGCAAAATATATCGGATACCATTACAAATCAAGTATCAATCAACGATTATTTTTCTGCCGTTAGACGGCGACAAAGTATCGAATAAAATGGTGTATGACTGGGTTTTTGATATGTCTCTGAATTACTTTTTTTTTAACTTTTGAAAGGAGACTGTTAATTAAAAATGACAATATGTTTAGGATTTTATCTTACTAGTACAATTACAACAATTTAACCAACAGGAAACTGAGGGAGGATATCCAAATGAGGTGATGGTTGGCGATAATGAAGAAATGGCAAACGGGAATGGAAAACATCCTTCACAAAGTACAAGTTTTTTTATTGATTTATTTTGTATCAAACCTACATAATGTTGAAATCATGTAATACCTGTAAAAACAAGACGAAATAGTTTGAAACTTGATTATACTTTAATTTGTTTCTCAAATTCACGAATAGACTGCAAGGAAGAAGACAATGGTAAATTTTTGTAAAATTACCGTACTTGGCAGCGAATGTTTGCAAATGTTGTGTCGGGGTCAGTTCAAATAAAACCTAACAGCACATTTTCAATTGTGAAAATGAACTAACTCTTTATTGTTTTCTTTGGCTCAACAGAAAAACAAAAGTCTTGGCTAAAAAGAGGATTTGACCTCTTTTGCGGTTTTGATGACCAAACCTCGAAGCAACCTTCACCGGATTCTGTAATATTGGATATCAACGAAAAGAAATGGCCAGCATTAATTGTGAACATAGCTTGCGTGCTCATGTTAGCCTCAATGGTGTTTCTTTTTGCATATTACGCATAATACTTCACGTGAAGGGAGAAATAATGAGAAAATTATTACTTCTTGCATGATGTTATTCTCCGTTCAATGTTTTTTTTTTGAATAATCAAAACGAATAATTGCATAAACAATTTTATTATTGTCAATCCCGATAATTGACGAGTCCAATTAAACAGATAAGAATAAAAAGAATTATAGTTGAACATTTTATAAAAACGGATTTTGATGAAAAATACAACTGATCTATTCGTAATGTGTTTGTGAGTCACAAGTTACAACGGGGTTTTGCATCAGAATAACGTTTATTCTGTGTCTGTGGCGATATAACGTTTGTCACTAAACTATACAGTTCTGAAGCTCCCTGGCAGCGAAAAATATTCGAGAATGCTATCCATATTATTGATAATCAAACATATTTCACCAAAATTACAACACGGCTTATAGAATGAAAAAAACTTAATTAAGGACAGGTTAGAAACGATTTGATTTTTACAGACGGAGGTTGTGGGGTTGTATACTTGGCAGTCAGAAAAATCACATTCTACTATATTTTAAATTAAAACCGAAAAACTTGATATAAAACTAAACAAGCAATTGCGTCATAAATATAAATCCAAAAATATGTCGTGAGTCGGAAGTTCACTCAGTTTATAATAATAATATAAAACAACGAAATATATACTTATAGAAAACAGGAATGAACTAAAATGTAGCTAAAATTTTGCTCTCACAACGATCGATAATAAGATAAGTATCCACCAGTTAATAGAATCGTAGTGTTTATACCAGTAACCCATTACTACACGATAGAGGCATCACAAAAATACATTTCCAAAAGACGTAGTTTTCCTCGTATATCATTTATACATTGACTTCCTATCGAAATTTTAACTCAACGAAAAACTGATATTTATGAAAACAATATTTATGTTCAAAGATTCTATACGGTGTATAATTACCTCAGGGCAAATACCAACCATAATCTGCGCTTAGTAACTTCAAAATATTGTCAGTCACAGATAATCTGCGCGATTGTTTCAGATTCAGATTTGGCTCTTGTGCAAAAGGTTGTCAGAAATTGGCTGTATATGGTTGAAGTTTCTCAGAAGCGCAGCGGTCGATACTTTTGGATTTACCGTATAATGAGACTCTCTGTGTAATTATAAACTGAAGTGTGTGGTTTTGAATACATATTTCACGTAGAATTTAATTTATTTCTTTATTTAATTTATACATGTTGATAACAGTTGAAAATGTTTGTTATTGAATAAGTTTATTATTTTATTGTATCAAATTAATTGAGAAGCCAGCTGATGCAATTATATTACGCTCATGATATATTTGCTTCGAATAAAAATCAAAAAACGATTTTTATGTCAAACGATAAAATCAATCAATCTAGTCGTTTAATGGATATCGACGTTTTAAAATGCTAGTGAAGAGAATAAATCTGTTGAAGAACAGGTTTTATCTGATACTTAATTTCCGGTACCCATTCTGGCAGTATAGTCTATTTTGTGAAAAAAATCATAAAATTGTATTTTTTATAACATACAATATCAATTTATTGTGTATTTTAAAAATGATGCCTAACAGTGATTCATATGTAGAATAACAGGCTCATTATAGTAGACTCACATCGTGTTGAAATAATAGTTGAATGCACAATGCGCGATAGACTTTAAGAGCTGTGGTGACTTTTACAAGTTTCCATTAATGTGGTAACATGGACGAAATTGCCTAAGGGTCACCGCTATCTGTGATCAGGTGACAAGTTCATTACTTTATATCGAGATTACCACGTCATTGCACCATGACGTTATTTTACAGCCTCGTCAATAATTACCCTGTTTGTTTTGCTAAAGACGAAAGATATCCTTCTAAATCTAAAAGTATATAGTACTATTTTCAGTTAAGTCAAAACATCAATAAATCCACTTCTCGCTGAACAAATACCTTAATTATAAGTTCTGTTTTAGGCAAAATGCAGTGAACTCACTCGGCGAGGTATGGACTTGGGAAAAGTACGGAATGGCTTTGCTATGCAACATTTTGATTTCAAAATAGAACATATAAATACTCTAAGCAAAACAGCTGGTTTTGTTTTGTTCTTGAAATCTCAGTTAAGTTGAATAGTTCCTCTTTTACAATTGTGAGCAGAATGACGATAACTTCAGTAAAGTTTAAGTGGTTGTTTTTGCCAACGTTTTTATGAACATCAATGAAACTCTGAGAGTGAAAACTCCGAGAGTGGAAGCTCTAAGCGGCCATCCTCGCTATCTTAGGTAGGAAATTTATCTATATATGTATATTATAGGGCTTGTGTGTCTTCAATCTTTGCCTGCCGTCCTATCCATTGTTTATTACAGGAGGGCCAGATACATATAACTAGGTGAACGCGCGGCCCGCACCTATATTTACCCTAGGCTTTCTAGTAGTTGCAGCACAAAAATTTTGGTAGGTAGTTGTTAGGGCATTTCATATATATATAATACATTGGACTCATTTGTAGGCTTAGCAGTGCAAAAGGATTGGAATTATTCGCACGTACCAGTTTCGCAGCCGCACATCATTCAAAATTGGAACTCCTCCGCGTGTCGCACAATTTTTTCCTGTGGGCCACACTTGGCCCGCGGCCCGTAGGTTGCACACCCCTGATTTATTGCACCATGATATGTTAGTTGAGTGATTTGAGTACAGCGTCGCTATAGGCTTGAAAGGGTTGATTATTTATTGCCAAAGTAATTTCAAGAAAATACTTATTTTATATAAATATTACTGTTTATAGGTAGCACAACAGAAAAATAAATTTGTGAGGGGCGCCACATTAAATAGTCGCGCAGTAATAGTTGTACCTTCAGATTTATCATTACGATTCTCGATGGACTATAACGATTTCTCAATTTCAGCTTCAACTCTGTAAAAATCAATCTTATTTTGTTTGAAACGGTGACATTTTAAAAATATATTTTGCATTATCGATTTTGCTTAACGAGAAATGAAATCGTTGAAATATACAAATACAATAATAATAAGTAAAATCGCAAATGATTTCTGTTTAAAGTTATATGTACTTAAAGACTGAAATTTTATAGTTCAGAAGTTTTAAATCAAAATGACTTGATGAAAAGTGTAGCAATACAATGGATAATAATATATTTCTAATAAGATGAGAAAATAAGTAATAACTTTATCATCATATAGTAAAAATCATCATAAAGTTTTCTTGGGTATCAGAAAGCAAGACGTAAGAAGTGAATTGTCATTAAATGCGAACAATTTCTTGAACAGTAAGTACAAAGAGTGGCACTATATTTGAACGATGACGTGACAACAGCGCGAATAAATAGTACTCGAGATGCTGGAATTTAGGAATACTAATTTTATTTTTTGAAAGATGTATTGAGTGAGTAAATGTGAAAACACGTTCATTCTAGACTTCAACCTAATACATGGTTACTGAAACCTAAGTTAACTCGATTCTTGTTCATGATGATTAAAATATCTGTCTATTGGATCTTGCAGATCAGTCAAATGACTACCAGGCGCACCATGAACATGTCCCGGACTTCACAATTTTCAACGTTCGATATAAAAAGTGTTTCATAGATACTAATGTTTTACGTCAGATAAAAGTCTGTTTTGATATAATATTATTAATTATTAATGAGGCCTTCTTATTCAAACATCAGCTTAAACTACGGAAATCAATTTTTTCGACGTCGGTGCATATAAAAGTATAAAAAGTCTATAAAGGTTGTTGAAACGCGATTTAGTTTTACGTGGTGTTGTAATCTAACGGAACAATTGGATAGCCATTACATGGCGGTTTTGAGATTTTTCGGTTATTTATTATGTTTAGTTTTGTCTTAAAGATTTGTACTATCAGCCGATACAGTCATATAGTCTAGCTAGACTCTATATAGTATAAAACATCGATAGTTATTAAGTCAATTTAAATAATAATACTTTGCCATGACTATTAAATTTAACATTAAATTAAATTATCTTTTCTCTTTTTTTTTATATGAAAACGAAAATGGTGTTTCGTGCTTGGTTTTTATTGAATTAGAATTTTATTAAGTGTTTGGAACCTGGCTCCTAACAGGATTCTATACATAAATATAGCCAGGGAGTCTGTTATATAGTGACGATTTTGATTCTTTCAGTTAGGCATGAAGTCTATACCGATTCTTACACTTTGGTTGACGCGGACTAGGAAATGACTGAGAAATATCTTAAATAATAGTCTAACTAGAAATTATAAATGACACTGATTCGAAACAAGAAAACTTCTTTTCAGTTTTATTATTGATTGGATTAATAGTTCTATTTCACACTGCAATGAAACTTGTTGTAAATCATTCAAGAATAAAGAATACAATTGAATAATTGATATGGGCGTGTACAGCATCTAGCTATTATTATGTTCATTGTCGAAATTAAGTATAATACTTTCAATACTCAAGGGAAACAAAGACTAAGAACTTGTTAACGTGCGTAATTAATTGACGTGTCATCTGAACAATAAAACGCGGTTATTTAAAACGCCCATTTATGTAAGTACATAGATAGATATACCTTGCTGCATTCAGGAAATAGTACAATTACGAAAAATTTATTAAGAAGTTTATTAAATTCTTAAGAAGATTCTAAAAAGGGAATAAAAAATAGTACAATGTTTTCTGTTTTCTGATAAAGTTAATTTTTAAATTAAATTGTTAATGTCAATTTTCGTATTTGAATGTCTTCAGTTGGTAAACATGTATTAATTATATAACTGAAACATTGCAGAATAGCAGCTTTTTTAAACGCATACATATTGACAGCATAAATAAATGGTGTGGTGAATGATTGACTCGTAGTTGAATATAACTTCTAAATAAATGACACAATATCTGCCTCAGGCACACGTTGTGCTTATTGGTATTGTATACGTGGCTTCCAATATTTCAACAATTTTTGCGGGTGAATTTGAACAAATTGAATACCATTTTATTTGTTAGTTTATTGTTTTGGGCGTTGAAGATTGTTACCCCGTATGTCCCAGATGCCCCAATATTATATCAGTATTAAACGATGTCCGGTCTAGTTCCAAACATCCAATAACAATAGCTAAATGCATGCGTTTGCGTAATGGATCCGTGTCGATAAGTGCTATTAAAGCGACTCTTCTGTAGTGTTAAATTGAAGATTAAATTTTTTTTAATCGTTTTTTTCCAAATATAGGGAAAAATTCAATTACGCAAAACGATAATTTGGTAATAATCAAGAAAAATAACGGATAATTAAAGTGAACAGTCGAAGTGTCGCTCCATGTCTATTTCACTGTTATATTGGTTTCTTTCATGTTATTTTTGATTAGTTACGACTGAAATATCGCCATTGACTGATATGTACCAAGTTCATCATATTTGAATTTGAGAGTATCCTAGACCTAGATAATCTTCATATACACATTCCTGAACTATTGGCATAAACTTGAAATCACTTTGTTTTATCCAAAATTGTAAATTAGCATTAATCGGATTTAAAGCCAGCAGTAAAGATAGGATTTGGTGATACATAAATATCAATTACCGGTAAGTAGTTAATTAAAAATAAATGTCGAGTTTACTATTCAGTATTAGTGGCATTTCTTTTATTAAAAGTAAAGGGGACCGTCTGATTTTATTATTCAAGCTTTTCCTTTGATGACGACTGATTTGCGACTTATAATATTATTCTTACAGACATTAAATAGCAATAAAATATATTTATTTAATAACTGGATCTTTTGAACTTGTACATCTTGTTTTACTAAAATTAAAAGAATTTTTCATTACACCGCTTTGAACAGTCAAGACTGTGGTCAGGTGCTATGCAGAAAGGAAAAAAACATAGAAAAAGTCGTCGACACTGTTTATACAAAATATGTCTCGATGGGCGTTTTCACACAATTTGAAACAAAAGAATACGTTACTGTGGTTAACATACAGAAGATTAAATTAACCTTGAAGTTGTTATTGTAATCTACTTTTAACATATAATCCTCTTTGTAAAAAACTACTTGAAGGTCAGGAGAAAAAACTACACCACTGGTGCGGGCAACAATCTTTATTGTTTTCTCTTAGTGATTACTTTACATTACAACAGAAACAAACTTGACAGAACATAGTACTGATAAAATAAATAATGTACAAAAATGCCAAAATTTCGTTCGAAGTAAATAGTCATTTCAATCAAGAACTCGTGAGCCCTCGAGTTTTTCCGAGAAGAAAGCTGATTGTTTATTTAATTATTTTAAGCTATTACTCATACACTTTGTTTAGGGAACGAAGAAAACATTCAAATGCATTTAAATTAAACGAATGATGTGTTGGATGATTTTACCATGTTGTTAGGATAAGTGTTGTTACCATGATTTGGTCTGCCGAAACTAAGCAAAATCTTTAGTTTTAACTTTGGCTGGTAAAATTCCAAACACCGACTTGCCAATAAAGTAATTTGAGCTAAGTAATTTGTGTGAGTATGATTTGAACACATTGCGTGAGACGGATTCATGTTTCTCCTTGTAATTATCAGGGTTTACCTAAATGTTTTCCGTGAACGGACTATGACGACGCATTACGCCTCCGGCAAAACTATCATATTCTCTCATTTACATGTTCTATTTTGTCACTACGCTTTCTTGTTATGGTTTATCTTGTATAGAACCACCGGTAGGAAAGGTAATGTTACTTTTATCAGATGTTCGTATCAGAACGACATGAAGTGAAAATAATGGAGAAAGCTATAGTAGACGAAGGTTCGGTAAACTGGTTATTTTTCTGATGTTAATAATATATTTTATGTTATACTTAGAAAAAGGATGTTGGATAAACCCACAAATCCATCCGTATGAGCAGTCTTAGGTAATGCATTCAACATTGATAGCCCAATGTCGTTGAAATATTCCGTCCTAGATTTTTATGTAACACTCTAAATATCCAACATAATTTTTTTCATAACTGTTTATAATTGTTTATAATTCATCGTATAATTCTCCATAAATACATTAAATATTTATTCTAAACATTATGATTTCCTAAAAAGTGTTTCTTTATGACAATTACAAAAAAATGAGCCAGAATCTAACAAAGAGCATCGGGAATAGCTAATCCAATGGAGACTGGTTCGAAATTGCTCAAATTTCTTGATAAGAAGATATTTATATACTAACTTCCTATTCTTTACGTTGAGCAAGAATTCATGAAATTGAAAATTATTGAAAGGAGAATCCAATAGAATATTGTAATATTAATACTTTCAGTACAAAAACTTGAACGATACTTAACATTTATTAAACCGCAATACTAGATGAGATTTTTTTGATTCTCAGAAGATACTATATTTATATATGTAAACGAGTTTATTTCAAAGACGAGTTATATTCAAATATGTAAGATACATGACATTATTTTAAGAGAAATAGCCGAATATTTTTATCGACCCTAAAAAGGTATAATACCTCGCGATTACTTCGAAACTGGGATTGTCAACCATTTTTCTATTTATCCACGCGAGCACTAGAATGGGTATCTTTTTTTCGCAAAGAAAGTATTTCTAATAACTTATATGAGAATATATCCTGCCTTGTGATGTTTGTAATCTTAGAACCTTTTTGTGACAATTCCATATTTTTCATGTACAGTATATACTCATTGCTAGTTTTACTGTAAAACATGTTTGGCAATAGCCATATGTCGCATCCAAGACTTTACACTGCTTAAAAAGTTTATCGAACTTGTTCAGAGAAAATGAAAGTTATTTATATTTTAGTTATGTCTATATAAAATATTTTGATACTTCTGTCTAACTCTGATATTTGGTAAATTATATTGTTCACAGATTCAAGAAATTGAGCGAGGTTGAAACATAACTTCAGCTCGTTATTCAGACAATGCTTGATAAACTTTGACAAAACTAATATCAAGCCTAATATCAATATACGAAACTTAATTTGTGTATAATACGTCTGTGATGAAGCGTTCAACAAACATTTTACTGCTATGTCTTCTTCCGTGGATTTCGGCCCACGATGAAAATCATGAAGGTACCTCTCACATTGGCGTCGCTTCCGATCCAGTCGCGTATGATTCTCCATATGAAATAGTGACAAAACCTAGAAATGAAAACGTTCATCGAGAGCCGGGTGTAAGCCAGGAAATAAGTAGTCCAGGACATGTTATCACTGCAAAAGAAACTGAAAATTTCGAATCCTCATCTCCGGCTGAGACTCCTGTGGCATACTCCAATATAGATGAAAATTCAGAAACGGCGGAAGACGTCTCCGATTCCGAAAATTCTGACGCCCACACTGAATCAGATAACAACGACACTCCCGATGTCAGTGGTTTGGAAGCTGTCCTTCTCAGTTTATATGGTGTACGTATGAATCAATCGCTAATAGGGATGTATTCTGGGGAACCGGGCGAGCCGGCTATGCCAGGATTCAATTGTACAGAATTGCATTGTTTGTATGGTAGCGATCTTGAAGTTACGACACAATCAGGAGATGAAATACCAGAGAATGATGACTATACAATAATGACAACAGTCCGAACGTCCGAAGCGTCCAATACCTCAGAAGCACCAAATGTTGAGTTGCTTGAAAGCGACAACCCAATATTGGAAGAACATTTTATCAATTCGTAAGTTTACTTTTTCCTATTAACACTTAACAACTAACACTAATCGGTTCAAATATTAATACGTATTTTTGTAATATTTAGGGACAATTCATTACTAAATAACAGTCGGATTGTTCACGACGTCGGAAATGATTCACCAAATTCAACAATAAAGTCGGAGACTACAGAAGAATATGGCCATAATGAACTGGATAGCAGTCGTTTCTTGGTCTTTAAACCTTCTTTCTTCCCTCAACCAAACACCATCATACATGAGGATAAATTTGGAAATCCAGAAATCACAATTTTAGAGAAAAATATGTAAGTCGCAAATTTATGTCTGTGTGGCAGTAATACATGATCTGAAAAATACAGCTATAGTAAGCATTTGTATTTGTCCTTCCTCGTTATCAGCTGTTCATCGGTACGAAAACCACTCTATGCCAGAATTGATTTTTTAGTCCTTCCAAATTCGATAATTGTAAAACAATCTGTCACAAATTTACTTATTTATGCAAGGTGAAAAAATGCTGGAAACACTGATATATTCTTCTGTAGCAAATAAACATTTTTCTTTATATCTTTTTTCATGAATGTTAATTTGTAAAAATACTTCAATTTTCAGAACAAATACCGGAGTGGGAATTGAATTTACTCTTACGAGTGATCAAGTGTCATCAGAAAGAATAATGCCGTCTTTCAACATTTCAGGTGAATTGAATGGAGATTTTTGTAATTCGATACCAAATTCCGCCAATTTAAGCTGCATTTAAGAAATTCAATGTCACATAAAATTTAAATTTTATAAATCAAAATCTTATAATGTAGAAAGGTAATAGTGTATGTTAGGAAATTTTAAAATATATTTGCGCATTAATGTTGATTTTGTAAAAATATTTCAGTTTTGCAAAATCTATAACATATCGTATTTGATTTTTAGCAAATCTTGACGTCCCGCATATAGTTCCTCTTCTAAAGCGATGTGGAGTCTTTCCTGCGTGTCGTCTCAAAGTTACCGCTGTTGATGATGTAGTCAATTATGATGCTTTTTCATACGAGAAAGAAACCTCAGCAAAGATCACAAATGACCCTGAAGCTCTGATAAAAAGTCTTGAAGTAACCTGTGACCCGACTTCAGTCAGCATGATAATCGCCTTTGTTGTCATATTAGCTGTCGTCGTCATTATAAGTAATTCGATAATCATCGTCGTAACATTACGGACAAGATCTTTACGAAAACCTCATGGATATTTCAAGATATCTCTAGCCATTGCTGGTGAGTTGCAAGAATTCGGTATTATCAGTTTAAAATCCCATACCGCATTGACGTCATTTTTATTTCATTTGAGAGAATTTTGATATTATTCGATTTTACCGAATTAGAATCATTTTATTACTGACACCGAATGACGTCCTGACATATGATAACGGTATTTCGTTGTATAAACAATGAATCAATACTTCTCTTGGGAGTTTCATAACTAAATTTGATGATAAAGTTTCATTCAAGCGCACGTAGATTACATTATACTTGAAATTTCAATTTTTTTTAAAAGTTTATATATACTGATTTAATGGGTTTCGGAACCTGATACAGACCATGAAATTGATTTCAATTAAATTCAGTTTCTATCAGTGTCTTTATTGTACCTTATTGTCAGTCTTTATTGTACCTCACAAAACCAAAATTGTATATTTCAACAGACTTGTTTACGGGAACTTTTGTTCTTACAAATATAAGCTCCAACCTTGTAAGATTTATTCACTTCAACGATGAAGACATTACTCAGCTTCTTCAATTACGAAGATTGGAACCCGTTTACTCGGAAGCAGCATTTTTTGGAATATGTGCAGTTTTATCACAAGTCGTGACAGTATACAGGTGTGTAGCATATTTGTTTATAGCCTAAGCATATTTTCGCGGTAAAAAAATAATATGACATGTGACAATATTAAATTTACCAATTTTTTGAACCATTTTTTTACCTCAAAATTTGTTATTGATTCTCGAGCATATTACTCGTCGTCTATTTTCCAGATGAAAATGACCGTGTACGGTAAAGTGCCGATTTTCGAAACGTGTTATTTGCAATCAAATTCAATGTTTTTGTTGTTTTTAAATTTTCCTTTTATTTTCGTATATGTCGACGGGGCCAAATAACGACGTAATTGAAGTTCCCAGAAGGCGCATTATCCGATTTTGTTCCGCTGGGAATATTACCGAGATCGAAAAACCTTAAACTGTTTATCGTAGACCAGACACTTCAGACGTGATAGGTTTAATCCATTTTCTAAAATGAGTATTGCCAAAGCATGACTATTGCATATAAGTTTTAAATATATCTTAAACGTCTTTTATATTAATGGGCAAACTACGTGATTTTTATCCAATTATACTTAAAAACTTGGATAATGTGAAACACGAGTGTGTTCAAACGAGCGTTTCCACTTAGATGCCTAATTCACAAGTTACTGCCAGCAAGTGACCAGTTGATGACATCTGTTAGGTAGCGTTCATTTATCGTCGCCAGTATACTACCTTTTTCAATAGTCGGTACCATACCAAAAAGTGATTCTTTTCGCGGTTTTTTATCGGGCTATGAATCTTTGAATTAGCTGTACATGACACTTTTTTATGTTCCCATTATTTAGAATAATTTACTATATGCAGTTGGGATGTAGAAATATGCATGGGATATAGATGATTTAGGGTAAAAACAAACATGTCTGAAAAACACTGCAACTGACTTCGTTTTTTTTTTGGAAAACATACAGAGCCTTTTTAAAAAATAGTTGTTTTGTTATATAGGCATTCTACTAACTTTTGAGCAAGATTTAAAGTCACGTTTATTATATTAATTTTTTTCACAATTAAAATATTATGTTTCTGTTTGAAACACATAATATGCTTTATCCATTTATACGTATAAAATAATTTTGGGTTTTAGAACGTTAGGAAAATAGACAACAAAAAAATGAATCAAAGAAACACTTCGCGATTGGTGTTGTTTCGTTCACAAGCAAATACATTAATTTTACTTTATATTTAGCGTACTCCTGCTGAGTGTCGACAGTTTTCTATCAATAAGATGGCCTATGCAATATCGGATCGGGGATCTAATGACAACAAAACGAGCAATTGGCCTCATAGCCGTAGTTTGGATTTTTGCCCTCTCGGTGTCAGCTCTTCCAATATTAGCTTATGAATACGTTCGATACGGTCTCAGCTACACTACGTTTTCATACTTTCCTATTTTGGAACCTATTGGATCGGTATGTATTTTATAGACATTGTTTATTATACAAAGTTTGCTTCGTAACACGAATTTGCGAAAATCATAAAAGTAAAAAAATATCATCACTTTAAATTTAACAGTTATTGATTTCTGTTCCTGAAATGACTTGCCGAAATGGATATCGATTAACGGGTATGTTTTGCCCAAACATCCAAAGAACCCGATAAAAAATTGAGTTTTACCTGGTATTATTAAGATTGAAATTTCGTTTTGGTTAAGCAATTCAAATACACGTTTTTACATTTGGCTACAACCTTGTTACTCCAAATCAGAGGCCACAAGAAAAAAGCCAGTCGTCATTTAAAAAAAATGATTAGCCTCGGTTATTAGAATTTGGTAGTAAATTTTAAGTCATGGTGTAATTGGTATGTCGTACAGGAGTAATCTCTAATCCAGTTTGTTTTGATCAGAACAACTTTTCATAGAAAAGAAATAATTTGTTCGTTACCATATTCAAGAATTTCAAGGAACTTTATCTCCTCTTTTGCAAAAATCTAATTGACTCGACAACATACAATTTTAAAACCACATATAAAAGTACTCTTTTATTGGACGAACCTATTCCAATCGGTGTTGTATATCTTCGCGGTGGTTAAACAGAAGATTATATTCAGACGAAATGTATAGAATAAGATAATTTTCAATTTGATTATGAAACCATAATACGAAACCAAGTATAACAAAGTAACTGACACCTACATATCCAGACAAGAACGTATTCATTATAACCGTAATAATACTTTGAATACAGGCGTTTTAAATAATTTTAGAAGGTCATTTATTCAAAATATTGCTTTCTTGTCGGTAATTAGTCGGTAAATCTCAAAGGTTGACGCCTTAAGTAGTAGTTTCAAGTGGGACGCACCACCAGCGTGTGGACGCGCTTTGTTATTTAATTGGTTTAATCAGGAAAAACTTAACAAGGACTACCTTTTATTTACAGCACATGTCACGTGAAGAAGCTTTCTTGGCAAGGTAAAAATGTTTTTAGTATATTGATTGCTGCCATATTATTTATTCAAAAATTAAAAAAACAAATAAAAGTAAAAACCATTAGGAGCCCACTTTCATCTTTACTTACTGAATTTTTATGTTGGAAGAAGTCACGTATTTTAACAGAAAATCAAGATAACTAACAACAATTCAGCAAAGCGGTTTATAGGTTCACCTCTTTTCCAATAACAGATCTATGTTTCTCGTTTGATTTTACCGTGACATGAAATACTTTTAATGAGAGAAAAAGTAAATTGTCGGGTTAAAAATATATGTTAGTACACGATTGCACATCGTGCTAACACGTATATGAAGGAGTTAAGATTAGCATGACTAATTCCACAGTTTATAGTTTTTCCAATTATAATTCTGATTTGTAATCAAATGAATCGATTCAGATTCTGCTTTTTGATCAAATGAATCGGTAATCGGCTAATCGCATAGATTGCCTCTTTGATCCGCATTTGAAATTTATAACATCATCGTGAAAGTTCAAAAGAATTTAAGGTTTGAAAACACGAACGAAATGTAAAACCAATGACTATTCGGCTTTCATAGTATATTCTTGCTAAAACCACTGTTTATCTTTTGTAGATATATCCACGTGATTCTATACGCTGTTCTTGTTTGGGGAATTCCATTTTTCGCGACTTGGATGCTAACTTTGTTGACAGCTTATCACAGTAGAGGAATGCTTCGACAGATGAGTCGATCTAGAAACGGAAGTCCTACAGTTAGCGGTAAAATCGGACGACTTGAGAGAGACATTTTGCGAACTGTGAGCATAGTTCTGCTGATGTTAACCATAACGGTTTTACCGATGTTGGTTTGCCTGATTGTCATCAGCGTAACGTCGTATGACAACCCTTTGTGCATGGAGCAACATATCGTGAATTTGCTGTTTTCCGCTTACTACATATTGGTCTGTGGCAGCTTCATAAATGTCATTGTATACAATGCTTGTCACAAGGAATTCCGTAGAGCAATGTTCGACTTCTTATGCGATGCCATATCATTTTTGTTTTCCTGGATATGCCCTGCTTTTTGTGACTTACGTGTCAGCAAAGCAGAAAGATCTTTTCGTAGCAGAAGAACCAGACGTACAACTATGTCATCAGAAACAAAGAAGAAAAGAAAATCTGAGCATAAAAATATCAAATCAACAGATAATGCATCAACAACATTGAGTAATGAAAGAACCGGATATTTACAGTCGGGATTTCCTTACGATAAAAATATGGATCATTCTGAAAGCGTTGGAAGCGACGTGCCGTCATCAAGTCGCACTGTGTCCACCGATACATGTTTGTCAACATCAACATTAAATGGATCAGTAAGTTCAGAGTGTAGTAATTCATCACAAGTTATAACAAAAATTCCTGCCAAGCGAGCAGCAAGTTGCAACTCCGTGTTTTTATCAACAAATTATGTGATTAAAAGACAAGATCCACGTTGACACTTCCATGTATGTAACTATTTCGTCAATGCGTAATTGTCTTGCAAAACAAAGTAATCGCAATACTTATCACATTGGAGATAACTGTACATCGCCATTCAGAGAGGAATAAGAACAAGAGAAAGGGTTGTAAAACGAAGATGGACCAATATTTTAAGAGCAATGATATTAGTATCGTATCAAAATTTTTAAGGATACACACTGGTTTCACTTCATAGTGTTTCAATCATACTCTTCGACTGATACTACTTATATTGACTTTGAAACCTTAGTTTAGCAGACAGTGTTATTGCTTGTGACATTTTACGTTAATCAGATTCAATGAAGAACGCATTCCATATGCCATCCCAACAATCAGTTCACATATTCAACTATCATTCAGTGCTGTGCTGAAATTTCAAGGATTTTTTCCAGACAGATGTCTTTCTATATAGTAGTACTCCCTCGGTATTGTTTTACATAGTTGAACCATTCTAAAAATATTTATTTCGAAGTGTCACCATATCAATAAAACCCGCTATCAAATTGATAAATGCATTCGAGTTTTGATGTGCCTGGCGCATATTATATTGTACGTTGAATCGATATGTTTGAGACTGCAGTTTCAGCGTGCAGTATGTGAATATTGTCAATATTTATTTTAATTTTTTCAGCAATATTATTTTGTTTACTTACTTAATTAATTAATGTTGTGTGTTGTTAACATCTAATAAATTTTTTGTAACAATGAACTATGCATAACGGTTACTTGATCTTCGTCCAGGTAGTAACATCATCACGACAATTATCCGTCTTCATCAGATCGTGTTTCATGCTCTCTGACGCATTGACATCAAATGTTTCAAGGGTATTACGCGGAATTTGGGATGTGTCATTCACTTTTTCATCAGATACAGCTCTTGTTATAGTCTAATATTTGAAATGCCATAGGTGAGTGATATATCCTGTAGCGACAAACGAGATGAGAGAAGAGTGATAGAGTCCTAGTTTTTGTGGTGATTTGCGTGTTTGTTTATCGCATATGCTAACAGCTTCCTCTAGATTACAGGATTAAAACGATGAAGTTGAGCTAGTACTGAAGAGTGAACGGGCAAAAGTCTGTGTTCCAGTATACACCTCAATCGTATTATCTACTTTAATCCTTAAAGTGAATATACAATCTTATCCGGCCCTTCCTAGATTTCATTCAAGATATTTGAGCAATTCACTTTCATGCGGTACAAAAAATTAACATACTGATAACAATCGAAGCATCCTGCTCATTTGCGTCCTATAACTTGCTTAGCTAGCAATTCACAGGAACAATGCGTTAGATGCTACGTGATATAACTGCCAAATTTTCCAATTTTAATATATATATATATATATATATATCGCTGTAGTGTTTGGCAAGGTGAACAAATAATCACACATAAATCGACTGATACATTAGTACGAATTGGGTGAGCTTGTCTAGCACACTTTTTAGGCGGCTTTGTGTGACTTGTTGCTCTGGGCCATTGTTGACCTTTTAGCGCATCATTCTCGACATTATACGTTCTCGGAACAGCATGTTCAGCATGGCTTAGCGGTATAAACAATAGTGGTGGAAGATTAACCGTCGCTTTAACATGTTTATGAAGATATAGAGATAGAACATTTAACAAAAAACGTGAATTCTGAGACTAATATTTACCCTTCTGTTGTACGTGTCTTCGAAACACGTGAACAGCTAATCAAGATGATTATCTAAGATATCAATATCGCAAATATTCAGTAGAATCGAATTCTGTAGAAACCTTCTTGTTCAAATGTATGGAAAAATTGAAGAATACCTCAATCATTTTAGTTATGCATAAGGTATTTTTGCGTCTATACACATAAGCAAAGAAACCTATATATATTAAAACGAAATTAATTACAAGAATTCCCAATAGTGGTGAGAAAGTGCCTGCGGAATATACCTCAGCCGAATCAAATGTTTAACCAAATATCTATGACTGCACAAGTTAAAAAAAATTCGTAACCATCATCTTTGAAAATACAGTTTATCCTTTCAAACCATTCCCAGAAGTATTGAATTTGAAGGTTAATCCTTGTTCACGTATATATAAGTAAAGTATAGTAACGTACGTAAAGTATTCGGTTTAAAGAGGTTCCGGTTACGTCAGAGTACTGTAACCATCGACATTACTAATATGCAAAAATTCTAACCGGGAAATAAATATGTCGGAAAGAATCCGAGTGCATCTTTTGCATCACGAGTACGGTAACAATAAATAAAAGGAACAATAGATATTGGCTTTCGAAATAACTCTGCTTCATTCTTGGTATAAATTATATTCGTGTTTTTAGTTCAACCAACGATATTTTTAGGAAGGATAGAAATGCAAAGAATCCGTGTTTTGGCGGGCTAAGAGTCCAATTTGACACACACGGAACTTATGGGTGGATGAAATCGTAATCAATGATGATTCTATGACACAATCTTGAATACATAAAATTTTGACAAAATGTCGAACTGTTACGTTCTATTGTGAGAGAACAAAAGCAAAATCTCTTATATCTAAAAGTAAGATTTTTCTCCAACTTAAACATGAAAGAGTAGCGATTAAATAGTTGCATGCTTTCAATGAAGCGCTATTTAACTTTAACCTTGTCAGAATGACGTGTGTGGATATATAATCAATTCCAATTTTAACACTCTTGTATTTGACAGGTAACGGAGGTTGTAGCCCATCAGGTTTTCACATGCAGTATTACAAATGCAGAGACATAAACGTGACTACGACCTATATATCATTAGTTGACCCCGACAGCCGGATTGCACCATTTCCTTTGACTGCTGCTGGAGTTAATTACCGTTTCGTCGCTGCCTAGTTTTATATTTTCTTCACTTGCGTCATTAAACTGTTGCACACACACGGAATCTTCTTGAAAGTGTTACTAGCTTGGCGAGAATATTTCTGCTCGAAACCATGCCGCAGCACGCCTTTTATCAATATCCTATTTTTCTGGAAGCTCACTTTTGAAATCAATTTTAATCTAACTAAATCTACCATCAAATCCAGTTCTTCTCTTCCATTTCATCGGTCAATGTAAGACATGTATCCCGCACAATCATGAAATGCCACCCGCGTCACATTTTCTGGAGAGTAATCAAAAATCGCATTCGGTGTTGTTTTGTCATAAAAATAACTAGCAAAATCTTCACACATCATTTCATTGGATTGATTAGTGTTTTGGCTAGCTTATCAACAAGCAAAGTTAAACAGTATGCTTGACTAGTCTAAATTGTTAATTCAGGACTTTTTTGGTTGGGAATACCCGCCAACAATAATCCCAATACACTTCATATACTGTATACTATAAAAAACTAAAAATCGAATGAGGAATCTATTAGCCTAAGTGGGCTAACAATATACTTCCTGCATGCTTCATTGTCTTTTGCTACCAGTCTAAGAGTCCGGCAGAATCGGGAATTAACATTGTTTTGGGACATAAAGTTTTTTTTATTGTTTAGATATAATGTATATGACATATCGTCACGCTAATAACCGAATTGCGTAAGTCATTTTTGGCGATTTTCAGTTTTTTTATAAAATAGGTATTTATGTAATGCTGCGCACCTGTCTGTTAACTCAGATTTTATTTTAGGAATTCCGAAACCCATAAAAATGGAGATTTAGTATGACATGCACATTTGTGAAAATGTTTCGTCATAATGAATCATATCCTTGTTACCGTAGTACTATTGTGACGTCACAAAGACAAAATACCCTCGGCGAAGTATTTTCGAGTTTTTGCATCTCGGATTCTAGCTTAGCGCGTATTAATTTGAATTTTTACTACAGTATAGGAAGACGTACACTTGTGATATTCACTGTCCGAGTCAAATTTACCTTGGTTGGCTTTTATATTGGGTGCATTGCTGTTTTATTCTTTATATTTAATCTTAGTCCTATTTCGGTGGGTGTGCAGAACGTGTTATATTGAGGAAATATATATTTTTAAACATAAAAAATGATGTAATTGAAACTGATTAGCTATTTTGGGGATTAGACATTGTAGATACTGAGAATTACATTCGTTTTTGGAATGTTTAGTTTTCAGGACTGGTGCATATAGTGAAGTTGCAAAATTGCGTATGTCCCCAAGTCATAGACACATTTCTGCCTAAGTCACAGTGCGCCATTATGACGTCACTTAACTGCGTCATACAAATTAACTAAAATCCGGCTACGATCAAAAAATTGAACCATGGCAAATTATTGACTCTCAATTGCAACACAAAATCATTACGAAGTTTTTTACGTTTTTCTCAAAACTGCTAAAAATGACTTACGCAATTCGGTTATTAGCGTGACGATATATAATGATACCCAGGTGGGTGTGGAGTATATAATGTTGAGCATTTTTTTTAAGTGGATTTAAAGTATTCGGTCCAAGATGACGCACATCCTGAACCCCAACCCGGTAAACATACAATGTTCAGGTTGTGCGCCATCTTGGTACGAATACTTCAGGTGCGCCTTTTTGTTAAAAACAATTATTTCATAACTACATGGTTTAGTTTCGCATACATAGTAACATTGAATCTCCTTACAATGTCAGAAATTCAATTTTAGTACAATAAATAGTAGTTTATTTCACTAATACAAGCCAAGATCCATCGACAGCATCCAGCCACTTTCTATGGCGCTCTTCAAACTACATTTGCGTTGCCGCGCGCATTTCGTTTTCTTAGTTTAAAAGCCTAGGGACTTGGGAAATATTTTATTAGTTGAATTGGATTGGAATATCTGACCTCGTCTTTCACTCCGAACAAGGCCATGTAAAACCGTCCACTGGTATCTAAAGATGTGTAACGTGTTTTCTTTTGAAAGAACCGCAACGTTTCAGTGCTGCATTGACTTTGGCAAAATTAATATACAGTATCCTTGTGGAGATAGAAGGTATGCGTATGCAAAACCGAGATGTGCACCTGTTATGCCAACATAGTTGAGTCAAACGTTTTGAATACTAATACATCACACACTAGGCTTGCACGTAATTGACAAAAATCAATTCCGTAATTACGGCCAAATCGATTACGTAATGACCCCGTAATTCCGATATTTTTTCACACATTTAAACCTATCATAACAATCAATTGAATCCACTTCATTTTCGATTGGGACATCGAGTTTGGGTTTTCATATTCCTGACAGTACTACACGCCGGCGACAGATGTTGAGACAAGAGTGAATTCAAATTAATTTTATTCTGATTTTTATCTTTTGTGCTAGCTTTGATTTCCTTTATCACCTTCGCAAATTAACCGTCCCGATTTTATGCGATCAAGTTTATCATTACCGACACTGGTATACGGATATTTATGAAACGATAGTTGACTTTTTTAAAATCGTATTAAAAAAATGTCGGGTTTCCAATTTGTCAATGCCACGACGAGCGTATTCTCTCGTTTGATTATACTTGCGCTTGCCTCGCGACGAAGACTTGTTATTGCACCGTTTTTAACATTATTCGACTTTACTACCTAGTCAGCATTTTATAATAATTATTGATGCCGACTTATTGACGTTATTCCGATTACCATGCTTCAATTTACATTAAATCATTTCGCGTCCTAAATGTTGTAACATTATTTGCGACAAATTTAGATCAAATATTAATTATTTGAGCATAATTTAAATGCCATATGACATGGCTTTTCCGAAAATACAAAGTTATATCGCAAAAAAATGCATAT